GCAGCAAAAGCACAACCAAGGCCCCCTCAACAGGAGAAATCCCTGAACCTTTGCCCCTCTCTCTTTAAGAAGCCACTCACTGACTCCCAAGAGTTGAAGGGATCCCTAGGGGTCCTCTAGTCCACCCCTTGGCCCTGCAGCAACCCACAACCAACGCCCCCTTGAGAGGGTTACATCCATGAGACTTTGTGTGGGTCTGAGCTGGGCTTTTTGGAGGGCGCACCCAAATAGCAAGAGGGTGGGTCCAGGAAATGCCTCCCCACTGCTGGCAAAGGATGCCGGGAAGTGTCAGCTTTGAAGCAGAGCCAGAAAAGGCTGCCTGCCCAAAATAGCTTCATGGGGGAGGGAACTCGGGGCGGTTCCCCCCCACAATTCTGGGTGGGACCCACCGCCCACTCCTTCCTGTTCCCACAGCAACGCACAAGAGGGGGGGGGGTCTCCCCTTTGTTCAGCTGTGTTCCCCCTTTAAAAAAAGGGGTGGAAGCAAACACAGCAGGCCTTGCATCTTCCTTTGCTCTGGATGCAGCTTCTTTGCATCTCTGGCCAAAAGCCAGGATTCCTTGCTAGGATAAGGGGGTATCTATGGGGTTGAAGGGGAGCGGGGGTACTAATAGGATTTTCTCTTTGTTATTATGATTGCTATTGTCAACATCCATTAAAAGTCAAAACAAACATTGTTTTATTTATTTATTTACAACCTTCATATTGTACTATGCTAATAATATAATTCTGATAATCGATATTGTACTATGCTAATAATATAATAATATTGATATTGTACTATATCAATATTATTATATTACTAGCCGTCCCCTGCCACGCGTTGCTGTGGCCCATTCTGGTAGTCATGGGCTTTCTGTGTGAAAGGTTTGGCCCAATTCTATCGTCGGTGGGGTTCAGAATGCTCTGTGATTGTAGGTGAACTATAAATCCCGGCAACTACAACTGCCAAATGTCGAGATTCTATTTTCCCCAAACTCCACCAGTTTTCACATTTGGGCATATTGAGTATTTTTGTTGAGTTTGGTCCACATCCATCATTGTTTGAGTCCACAGTGATCTCTGGATGTAGGTGAACTACAACTCCAAAACCAGAGAGCGCTGCCCACCAAACCCTTCCAGTATTTTCTGTTGGGCATGGGAGAACTGTGTGCCAAGTTTGGTTCAATTCTGTCGTTGGTGGGGTTCAGAGTGCTCTTTGCTTATAGGTGAACTATAAATCCCAGCAACTACAACTCCCAAATGACAAAATCATAATTTTTTGAGTGATGGTCATTCCTTGTGTTGTGAGACGTTTTGTTGCCAAATTTGGTGTGATTTCGTTCATTGGTTCTTTTGTTTTTAGGGTACTCATTACGCAGAAAACATTTATATATATATAGATTAGCATAGTACAATATCAATATTAGGGAGCCCCCGGTGGCGCAGTGGGTTAAAGCGCTGAGCTGCTGAGCTTGTTGACCGAAAGGTCGCAGGTTCGATTCTGGGGAGTGGTGTGAGCTTCTGCTGTCAGCTCTAGCTTCTGCCAACCTAGCAGTTCGAAAAAATTCAAATGTGAGTAGATCAATAGGTGGGAAGGTAACAGCGCTCCATGCAGTCATGCCGGCCACATGACCTTTGAGGTGTCTATAGACAATGCCGGCTCTTCAACTTAGAAATGGAGATGAGCACCACACCCCAGAGTCGGACACGACTGGACTTAATGTCAGGGGACAACCTTTACCTTTACCTAATAATACTGATAATAATACTGATAGTAATAATAACAACAACAATAAGAATATTTTTTTCGTGTCAAAAGCGACTTGAGAAACGGCAATGATCAAAGGTCTGGATACAAACCCTATGAGGAGCGGCTTAAAGAGCTGGGCATGTTTAGCCTGAAGAAGAGAAGGCTGAGAGGGTATACATGATAGCCATGTATAAATACTGGACTTAATGTCAGGGGACAACCTTTTCTTTTTTTTTTTACAATATCAGCATTAAACATTGCTGTATTGCACCATACCACTATATCGTAATATTATTAGTAATATTGCATGTAATATACATATATAGAATCATAGAATCATAGAATCAAAGAGTTGGAAGAGACCTCATGGGCCATCCAGTCCAACCCCCTGCCAAGAAGCAGGAATATTGCATTCAAATCACCCCTGACAGATGGCCATCCAGCCCCTGTTTAAAAGCTTCCAAAGAAGAAGCCTCCACCACACTCCGGGGCAGAGAGTTCCACTGCTGAACGGCTCTCACAGTCAGGAAGTTCTTACTCATTTTATTATACATTTTATCCCTGCATTTAACTATATTGTAGTTATGAGAAGAGGCGGGCCATAAATTGTTGTTATTAGGAGGAGGAATAGCAGCAGTATTAATGGCTAAATGTGAACTAATGTATTTTTGTATTGGGGGGGGGGATCAATGAGCCCCCCCCCCAAGTCTTTAATAAAACCCACCTGCCAGCCTTGCATCATCTTGCCTTCTGGGAGCATAAAACATACCTTACTTCTTGCACAACAAGCTCCAGAATGCATGGCTGTTGCTGCATTCTGGGATTTGTCTCCCCAAAGGGTGAATTCCAATTCTCAATGGAGTCAATCTGGGTGTTTTGCTAGCGCCACCTCGTGACCATCTTTGGTAATGCAGTCTCTTGAGTTGGTGGATACAGGTAGAAATCATTGGAAGGAACTCAAAGGGTCATCCAGCCCAGCCCCCTTCTGCCAGGCAATCCAAGTCCTCCTGACAGATGGCCACTCAGCTGTAGATATAGATAGGTAGAGCCATCAGGAGAGATGGGAAATATATTTATTTATTTATTTATTTATCGTGTCCGGAGCAAGCCAAACAGTTGTATTGCATTTTTAACAAAAACAAACAAACAAAACACAAAGTTTGCAAGCTTGGTAGTTGATTTAATGTCCTTTGACCAGTAGCTGGCCACTTGGAGTGCCTCTGGTGTTACTATAAGAAGGTCCTCCATTGTGCATGTGGCAGGGCTCAGGTTGCATTGCAGGTGGTCTGTAGTTTGCTCTTCTCCACACTCGCATGTTGTGGATTCCACTTTGTAGCCCCATTTTTTAAGGTTGGCTCTGCATCTCGTGGTGCCAGAGCACAGTCTGTTCAGCGCCTTCCAAGTCGCCCAGTTTCTGTGTGCCCAGGAGGGAGTCTCTCATTTGGTATCAGCCTTGGTTGAGGTTCTGGGTTTGAGCCTGCCACTTTTGGACTCTCGCTTGCTGAGTTGTTCGAGCGAGTGTCTCTGTAGATCTTAGAAAACTATTTCCTGATTTAGGTTGTTGACGTGCTGGCTGATACCCAAACAGGGGATGAGCTGGAGATGTCACTGGTTATTATTGGGTAATAAATAAACTTTATTCTTCTTATTATTATTTATGTCTTTTTATTTATGTAATTTAGCCATGTATAAATATGTGAGAGGAAGTCATAGGGAGGAGGGAGCGAACTTGTTTTTTGCTGCCCTGGAGACTAGGATGCGGAACAATGGCTTCAAACTACAAGAGAGATTCCATCTGAACATGAGAAAGAACTTCCTGACTGTGAGAGCCGTTCAGCAGTGGAACTCTCTGCCGGAGTGTGGTGGAGGCTCCTTCTTTGGAAGCTTTTAAACAGAGGCTGGATGGCCATCTGTCGGGGGTGCTTTGAATGCAATTTTCTTGCTTCTTGATGGGGTTGGACTGAATGACCCATGAGGTCTCTTCCAACTCTATGATTCTATAAGTTAGTAATTTATTGTATTTTATCTTCATTTGTCTTTGACATTGTTGTACCTTGCCTTGAGCCATCAGGAATGGAAGGGTAATAAATAATATGTAATGTTATTATTAGGTTCTTGTGGGTTTTTTCGGGCTATAGGGCCATGTTCTAGAGGCATTTCTCCTGACGTTTCGCCTGCATCTATGGCAAGCATCCTCAGAGGTAGTGAGGTCTGTTGGAAATAGGACAATGGGTTTATATATCTGTGGAATGGCTGGGGTGGGGCAAAGAGCTCTTCTCTGCTGGAGCTAGGTGTGAATGTTTCAACTGACCACCTTCATTAGCATTTGAAGGCCTGGCTGAGCCTGGGAAAATCTGTTGTTGAGAGGTGTTAAGATGTGCCTGGTTGTTTCCTCTCTGCTGTTTTGCTGTGTAATTTTAGAGTTTTTTTAATACTGGTAGCCAGATTTTGTTCATTTTCCTGGTTTCCTCCTTTCTGTTGAAATTGTCCTCATTGTGTTCACTCCAAGGCAGTGAAAATCTGAATGTGAGTAGATCAATAGGTACTACTTCTTCGAGAAGGTATTTTATTTATTTATTTATTTTATTTCCGGCACTTATACCCCGCCCTTCTCACCCCCAAGGGGGGACTCAGGGCGGCTTACACAACGAGGCACCATTCCGCGCCCATACAATTACAGTTATACAAAATGACAATCATAATTAAAACAATTAAAACAGTTATCATAGATAAAACCACAATGCAATTAACAATCAATAACACAACATATAGAACAATTCACGTGTTCAGCATTCGTCTTTCCGGGTTCCAGATCCCATTCCATTATACCTTTCCTAGATAGTGTCAATTCTTTACCTGCTCATTTGACCAAACGCTTGGTCCCACATCCATGTTTTGAGTTTTCTCCTAAAGGAGAGGAGTGAGGTCGCTGTTCTGATTTCCCCGGGGAGCGAGTTCCACAGGCAGGGGGCCGCCACCGAGAAGGCCCTGCTCCTCGTCCCTGCCAACCTCGCTTGTGACACTGGCGGGGTCGAGAACAGGGCCCCCCCGGCTGATCTTAAACTCCGGGGTACAGCGTTTCATGCAGTCATGCAGGCCACATGACCTTGGAGGTGTCTATGAACAACACTGCTTAGAAATGGAGATGAGCACCACCCCCCAGAGTCAGATATGACTAGATTTAATGTCAAGGGGAAACCATTACCTTTACCTTTACTATTATTATTCTGGTTATTAAACTGCCTTGCTTTTGCTCTGTCCTTTGCAGGCTGCAGCCTTCACCCAAGTGCTGTCCAAGATGAGCGCCATGGAGCCTCCGGTGCTGCTGAGCGACATCAAGACGGAGCCTCCGGAGGAGCTGCTGGCCAGCGACTGCAACCAGCCCCAGGCCGAGCCGGTGGACTTGTCCCTACACAAGAGCAAACCTCCTTTGCGCCCGCTCTGCTCATCCTCCTCCTCTTCTTCCTCCTCCTCCTCCTCCGTCCGCACCTCACCCCTGCTGGCCACACCCCCAGCGCCGATGGTCTCCATGTCCGCCATGGGGCTGGGTTCCTCCTCGGCCGCCATCCCGGCTGTCCTCTCGCCGGGCTCCCTCCTGGCTTCCACGCAGGGCAGCGGCGGGCAGCAGATCCTCCACCTCATCCACACCATCCCCTCTGTCAACCTGCCCGGCAAGATGGGCGGCCTCCAGACCATCCCCCTGGTAGTCCAGTCCTTGCCCCTAGTCTATGCTGCCATGCCCTCTGACGGGGTCGCTGCCGCCACCGCCGCCCTCACCGTACCCCTCATTGGTGGAGACGGAAAGAACACCAGCACCGGTGAGTCCGCCACACTTGGCTTCATACGGGGACTCACGTAGGGTTAGGGGTTAATCTATATAAATAAAAATGTAATGTTCGTTTGTGATACCGTCAGAACTCAAAAACCCCTGGATGAATTGGCCACCAAATTTGGACACAAGACACCTAACAACCCAATGTATGACCTTCACTCAAAAAAAATGATTTTGTCATTTGGGAGTTGTAGTTGCTGGGATTTATAGTTCACCTACAATCAAACAAAGATCCGCCTAGTCAAAGCCATGGTATTCCCTGTAGTAACCTACGGATGTGAGAGCTGGACCTTAGGGAAGGCTGAGCGAAGGAAGAGAGATGCTTTTGAGCTGTGGTGTTGGAGGAAAGTTCTGAGAGTGCCTTGGACTGCGAGAAGATCCAACCAGTCCATCCTCCAGGAAATAAAGCCCGACTGCTCATTGGAGGGAAGGATACTAGAGAGAAAGTTGAAGTACTTTGGCCACATCATGAGGAGACAGCAAAGCCTAGAGAAGACAATTATGCTGGAGAAAGTGGAAGGCAAAAGGAAGAGGGGCCGACCAAGGGCAAGATGGATGGATGGCATCCTTGAAGTGACTGGACTGACCTTGAAGGAGCTGGGGGTGGTGACGGCCAACAGGGAGCTCTGACGTGGGCTGGTCCATGAGGTCACGAAGAGTTGGAGACGACTGAACGAATGAACAACAACAACAACAAACAATCAAAGAGGATTCTGAACCTCATCAACGATGGAATTGAACCAAACTTGGCACACAGTTCTCCCGTGACCGACAGAAAATACTGGAAGGCTTTAGTGTGCAGTGTCCTTTCGTTTTGGAGTTGTAGTTCACCTACATCCAGAGAGCACTGTGGACTCAAACAATGATGGATCTGGACCAAACTCTACACAAATACTCAATATGCCCAAATGTGAACACTGGTGGGAGTTTGGGGAAAATAGAATCTTGACATTCTGGAGTTGTAGTTGCTGGGATTTATAGTTCACCTACAATCAAAGAGGATTCTGAACCTCACCAACAATGGAATTGAACTAAACTTGGCACACAGTTCTCCCATGACCAACAGAAAATACTGGAAGGGTTTAGTGGGCAGTGTCCTTTGGTTTTGGAGTTGTAGTTCACATACATCCAGAGAGCACTGTGGACTCAAACAATGATAGATCTGGACCAAATTGGCACGAATCCTCAATATGCCCAAATGTGAACACTGGTGGAGTTTGGGGAAAATCGAATCTTGACATTTGGGAGTTGTAGTTGCTGGGATTAATAGTTCACCTACAATTGAAAAGCATCCTGAACTCCACCAATGTTAGAATTGAGCCAAACCTCCCACACAGAACCCCCATGTGGGCCAGGGGGCAGCTAGTTAAGGATAAATATGAGAAGTACTCATGGATTGATTTTGGGTTTTATTAATGGTCCAATGAGAAGAAGGCATTCAATGAATGACAGAAATATGGAAAGATGGACGCAAGACCTAAATGTTTTACGTTGTGATTATGATTGTTGTTCATTAGTACAGTGTTTCTCAATCTTCCTAATGCCATGACCCCTTAATACAGTTCCTCATGTTGTGATGACCCCCAACCATAACATTGTTGTCATTGCTACTTCATAACTGTAATTTTGCTACTTATGAATCATAATGTATATGTAAAATCGTGGAAGGAGACATGGAAAAGGGCTGCAGCCGGAAGCGGTGCCTTCCATTCTCCCCTTTCATTCTTCTCCTCGTCTTACGAGGCACATCTTAAAGAGATTGGTTTTCCCGAGAGGAAGGAGAAGAGAACCTGGGAGGCGTTTGGATGGGAGAGAGAGAGAAACCCAAGAAGTCTCCTGTGTCTGACTTCAGCAAGGCCTTGTATGGCTGCTGCTGGCTTCTGTGTGCAGCTATATTCTGCTGCTTTCCAAGAACAATCTTCACCAGTCCTTCCTCTAATAATAATAAAATCTAATAATAATAATAATAATAATAATATCTAATAATAATAATAATATCTTTGACTCACTCCCACACAGTTGGATCATCAAGTGCCTAGACACAATCGGGATTTGTAAAAACGTTGGCACTTTTATTGAAAATATGATGAAGCACTGGAAAACTGAACTGTTTGTTGGAAATGAAAACTATGACCTTGTCAACATCAGAAGAGGAATTTTCTAGGGAGACTCATTGTCCCCACTGCTTTTCATCATTGCCATGATCCCTCTGTCAACAGTCTTACAAAAAACACCTCAGCCATCAAATGTCTCGGAGATCTCACAAAATTTCACAACTGTTGTACATGGATGACCTGAAGCTGTATGGGAAAACCGAAACTGAAATCCAGTCTTTGACTAATCTTTAGCACGGATATCAACATGGAGTTTGGTTTGGACAAATGTTCGACAGTGGCACTGAAGAAGGGAAAAATCGTTGAAAGTGAGGGCATAAATATGCCCAATGGCCAAGCAATGGTGTCACCAGCCAGAGGCCTATAAATATCTGGGCATACTACAGCTGGACAACATCAAACATGAACATGTGAAAACTGTGGTCAGCAAAGAATACATTCAAAGGGTCAGAAAAATTCTCAAAAGCAAGCTCAATGGAGGTAACACCATCAAGGCCATAAACACCTGGGCCATACCTGTCTTAAGATATACTGCTGGCATCATAAACTGGACGCAAGCAAAACTGGACAAGTTAGACAGAAAAACAAGAAAACTCATGACCATTCATAATTCATTACATCCTCGCAGTGATGTTGACCAGCTCTATCTGCCTAGAAAGTCTGGGGGCAGAGGACTTTTACAAGTCAAACAAGCAGTCGAAAAAGAAAAACACGTCCTGGCAGAATATGTCAAGGAAAGCCAAGAACCTGCTTTGAAGTCAATAATCAGAAACTTCTCAAAGCACAGCAGACAAAGAGTCAGTACAAGAAAACTGCACTCCAAACCAGAGCTGATAGCTGGCACAACAAAGCATTGCATGGGCAGTTCCTTGACAAAATTGAAGGAAAAGTTGACAAGGAGAAGACCTGGTGATGGCTCACAAATTGAACCCTGAAGAAGGAGACAGAAGGCCTGATTCTTGCAGCCCAGGAGCAAGCCATCAGAAAAAGTGCAATTAAGGCCAGGATTGAAAAATCAGCGGATGACCCAAAATGCAGACTGTGCAAGCAAGCTGATGAAACCATGGACCATCTCCTCAGCTGTTGCAAGAAAATCACACAGACAGACTACAAACAGAGGCACAACTCTGTGACCCAGATGATTCACTGGAACTTACACCACAAGTACCACCTGCCAGCAGTAAAGAATTGGTGGGATCATAAACCTGCAAAGGTAGGAGAAAATGAACATGCAAAAATACTGTGGGACTTTTGAATCCAGACTGACAAAGTTTTGGAACACAACACGCCAGACATCACGATTGTGGAAAAGAAAAAAGTCTGGATTATTGATGTCGCCATTCCAGGTGACAGTCGCATTGAGGAAAAACAACAGGAAAAACTCAGCTGCTATCAAGACCTCAAAATCGAACTGCAAAGTCTCTGGCATAAACCAGTACAGGTGGTCATTGGCGCACTGGGTGTTGTGTCAAACGATCTCAGCCGGCATTTGGAAACAATAAACACCGACAAAATCACGATCTGTCAACTGCAAAAGGCCACCTGACTTGGATCTGTGCGCATCATTTGAAAATACATCACATAGTCCTAGACGCTTGGGAAGTGTTCGACTTGTGATTTTGTGATATTAAATCCAGCATATAGATCTCGTTTGCTGTGACATATTGTGCTTTTGTGTCAGTAAAACAATAATAATAATAATAATAATAATAATAATAATAATTTTAAACCCTCCCTTTCTCCTCAAAGGGACTTATTTGCTGTTTTTTGTTTCCTCCGCAGTGAAAGTCGAGCCAAGCTCCATGTGTTCGGTGGATGCGAACAGTGACAGCGAAACCAGTGCTTCCGAGAGCGGCCCTCCTTCCTTCCCCGACCTCCAGGGAGAGTGAGTTTGGGCCCCGAACCCAGAGAGACCTCTAGATTTCATTTGCAGTTTCAGAATCCCAAGCGCAGAATGGACATCCTTGGAAATGGGTTCCTTTTTGCAGGATGGGAGAATTAGAAGGAGCCCCCAAAGGCTATCCAGTCTGACCTCCTGCCAGTGCAAGAAATCACAGTTAAAGCACCCCAAGATGTGACATTTAATCCTGTTTAAAATAAAATATAGGGGGGGGGGGGGTCTGATATTTTTTATATCTGTCTCTTTGAATATAATCAGAGATCAGAGGAATAAAATAGCTCTTTTTAAATAGTCTTTGAAATAAGCCTCATGCCTTAAAATGATCAGTCCTTAAGATAGTTGGCAGCCAGCAGTTTCAGTGTCCTTCACAAAACAGATGTCTTATCTACACTACCTTCCCCAACTGTACCCAGTCTCCCTCCCCACCTCCCTTCTTTATGGCAGAGAACCAAAGCAGCCAATCCCAGGCTGATACTGTGATCCTGACAGTATGTTTGAACCCAGTGAATAGTTCCCCAAACACCACCTGAAATAAATATTTATTTATCGTGTCAGGAGCAAACCAAAACATAAATAAATATAAATAGTTAAAACCCTTTGAATAATGTGTTTGATTCGCACCCAGAATACCATGGTCTGGTTTCTGGCTTTTCTCTGCAAGATTTGCAACGGCCTGATGCTCAAAGCATTTGTTTATGATGGATAGGGGGACAATCCAAAGAAAAGAGCGGCCAGAGTCTTTGGTGTGTGGTGATGACATCCGCTTTCTCCTCCAGGCCTTCCAGCCAGATGCAGTGGGCCGAGTCTCCGGACCTCAAGAAGCGGCGGATCCACCAGTGTGACTTCGAGGGCTGCAACAAGGTTTACACAAAGAGCTCGCACCTGAAAGCACACAGGAGGATACACACAGGTAAGTAGGCTTTGAGGGGATAAATCCGGGACTGGGAAGCCTCTGCTGGCCTTCAGAAACTATTCCTGGGTTCACAGATCTTCTTTATATTATAAGGATTTTGTAGTCCAAAGAGGGAATCTCCCATATTCTGGGCAAGTAGGATATGCACCTATCTGCTAAGTGGCCCTCTTAGGTATCCCAAAAATATTTGAGTATCCCCTTGGGCTGGAGTTTGCTTTTACTTCAAGGGAGGGATCCATCACTTTCCCTCCTTTGTAAACAAGTCTCTTCTTTCTCTCCTTTGCAATTGAGTCCCTTCTCTCTTTTGTTAACAAGTCCCTTCTTTCCCTCCTTTGTAAACGYGTCCCTTCTTTTCCTCCTTTGCAATTGAGTCCCTTCTTTTCCTCCTTCGTAAACAAGTTTTTTCTTTCCCTCCTTTGCAATTGAGACCGTTCTTTCCCTCCTTTGCAAATATGACCCTTCTTTCCCTCCTTTGGAACTGAGTCCCTTCTTTTCCTCCTTTGTAAACAATTTTTGCTTTCCCTCCTTTGCAAATGAATCCCTTCTTTCCCTCCTTTGCAAATATGACCCTTCTTTCCCTCCTTTGCAATTGAGTCCCTTCTTTTCCTCCTTCGTAAACAAGTTTTTTCTTTCCCTCCTTTGCAATTGAGACCCTTCTTTCCCTCCTTTGGAATTGAGTCCCTTCTTTTCCTCCTTTGTAAACAATTTTTTGCTTTCCCTCCTTTGCAAATGAATCCCTTCTTTCCCTCCTTTGCAWATATGACCCTTCTTTCCCTCCTTTGGAATTGAGTCCCTTCTTTTCCTCCTTTGCAAACATGACAAACTTTAGCCAGCAGAAGGTGCCACTTGAAAGCTATGGACAAAGCATACAGTACAATATAGCAAAAGGCTGCTATATTTTTTGCTTTCCCTCCTTTGCAACTGAGTCCCTTCTTTTCCTCCTTTGCAAATATGACCCGTCTTCCCTCGTTTGTAAACAAATCCCTTCTTTCTCTTTTGCAAATGAATCCCTTCTTTCTCTCCTTTGCAATTGAGTCCCTTCTTTCCCTCCTTTGCAATCGAGTCCCTTCTTCCCTCCTTTGTAAACAAGTCCTTTCTTTCCCCCCTTTGCAAATGTATCCCTTCTTTTCCTCCTTCGCAACCGAGTCCCTTCTTTCCCTCCTTTGTAAATGTGTCCCTTCTTTCTCCTTTGCAAACGAATCCCTTTTCCTCCTTTGCAATTGAGTTCCTCCTTTCCCTCCTTTGTAAACAAGTCCCTTCTTTCCCTCCTTTGCAAAGGAATCCCTTCTTTCCCTCCTTTGCAATTGAGTCCCTTCTTTCTCTCCTTTGCTGTCAAGGTGGAAGACAATCACAGCTGCTCCCCTCCACGCTTCCTTTGCCAAGGGACTTTGGTGCCAACCCGTCATCCAGCCCTTCTCCTCCTCCTCTTCCTCTTAGCAACCCCGTTGCCTCCTTGGGATGCTCCCCCACAGGTTTCCTAGCAACCCCCTGCATCCTCCAGGCTGGTATCCTAGCAACGCCTTCCTCCCAGGCAACCCACATGCTGGCCTTGCCCATCATCCCCTCTTGGTTAAAATATCCTTTTGCAACTCCACGGAGCCTCTTCTTGGCTCCCAAAAGTGCCAGCAGGAATCGCCAAGCAAGCTGGCAACCACTAACTGACTCTCCCCAATTTAGGAGGGGCTTTTTGCTGGTTTTCCGTGTCTGTCTTTCATTGCCAAAGGGATGGGAAGTACTTTCCAGAGGTTCCATACTGTAGCTCCCAGCAGTCTGCAATATCCAGTTGCTCAGAGTTGCCATCCAACCTGAGCATTCGAAGGTTTGACAATTCCGATCATTGCTCTTAAATGTAGCCATGTTATCCCATTGAAATTAGTCAGATAGATGCCCCACTCCAGCATGTTGCAAAGAGGGGGTGGTGGCATGAGGCACCAGAGCGGCATCAGGAATTGGTCACAACATGGGAAATTTCCTAAATCCCTTGGATAGAAAGCATAGAATTACAGGCACTCCCCATGTTACTTCCTAGGTCATGTGGCTGACATGACTGCATGGAGTGCTGTTACCTTCCTGCCAGAGCGGTATCTATTGGTCTACTCACATTTACATAGTTTCAAACTGCTAGGTTGGCAGAAGCTGGGACTAACAGCGGGAGCTCACCCCACTCCCCAAATTTGAACCGCTGACCTTTCGGTCAGCAAGTTCAGCAGCTCAGCGGTTTAACCTGCTGCGCCACCAGAGGGCCCATGAGTCTCAATAACAACACTCAATAAATAGTGGAATGCCTTGGCATACCACCAGGGTGTGTGTATGTGTGTGTATATATATATGCACACACACACAAACACACACACATACATACACACTAGCCGTCCCCTGCCACACATTGCTGTGGCGCAGTCTGTGCATATGTGTTTTGTGTGTGTCTATATGTGTATATATGTGTGTGTATATGTGTGTGTGTGTGTGTGTATATATATATATATATACACACACGTGTGTATATATTTGTGTATTTGTGTGTTTATATGTGTACATGCATATTGTGTATGTGTGTATGCTTGTCTATATGCATATTTGTGTGTATATATGTATGTATGTGGATATGTATATGTATGTGTGCATGTATATGTGCATGTTTATATGTATATATGTGTGTATATGTATGTGTGTATATTTGTGTGTGTGTGCATATATATTTGTGTGTGTGTATGAATGTGTGCATGTGTATATGTATATATGGTGTATTTTTGGGGTTTTTAAGTCTGTTCCACTGGCGTTTTGTGTGTGTGTGTGTGTGCATGTGTGCGTGCGCGTGTGTGTTTATGGGTGATGAACACTCGTTGGACTGTTAGGTGTATTGTGTCCAAATTTCATGTCAATTCATCCAGTGGTTTTTGTGTTATGTTAATCCCACAAACGAACATTACATTTTTATTTATATAGATAGAGAGGGTGTGTGTGTGTGTGTATGAGAGATAGATATAGTATCATAGCTTTGGAAGGGACCCCCAAAGGCCATCCAGTCCAACTAAGTTCTTAACTAGGAGTTGTTTGTAAGTCATATGTCTATAACTTGGGGACTGCCTCTAGTTTTGGAGCAGCTGCTTTGTATGGCAGACGCAGTTCATGGAAATAGACATTCCTAATCTGAAAGAGAAAAGACACATCATGAAAGAATAATAATAATAATAATAATAATAATAATAATAATAATAATATTTATTTATACCCCACCACCATCTCCCCGATGAGGACTCGGGGCGGCTTACATCAGGCCAAGCCCAAACAACAAATTACAGCAAAATAAAATGGAAAACGTAAACAATAAACAACATCATAAGTACATAAAACATATGAATGCATAATGATATAAAATTACAGTAAACACAATCACAGTGACAATGGGCAGACTACATGTAATCATAGAGTCATAGAATCAAAGAGTTGGAAGAGACCTCATGGGCCATCCAGTCCAACCCCCTGCTAAGAAGCAGGAATATTGCATTCAAATCACCCCTGACAGATGGCCATCCAGCCTCTGTTTAAAAGCTTCTAAAGAAGGAGCCTCCACCACACTCCGGGGCAGTGAGTTCCACTGCTGAACGGCTCTCACAGTCAGGAAGTTCTTCCTCGTGTTCAGATGGAATCTCCTTTCTTGTAGTTTGAAGCCATTGTTCCGCGTCCTAGTCTCCAGGGAAGCAGAAAACAAGCTTGCTCCTTCCTCCCTGTGGCTTCCTCTCACATATTTATACATGGCTATCATATCTCCTCTCAGCCTTCTCTTCTTCAGGCTAAACATGCCCAGCTCCTTAAGCCGCTCCTCATAGGGCTTGTTCTCCAGACCCTTGATCATTTCATCATTCCTTGATTAAAAGGAAAACTAATTAAAAAGGGGGATGGAGAGGGAGGAGGGGGAGAAGTATCCCTTCAATCTGAATATCCTTCTCTGGGTGGAGGAGCCGGGGGGGGGGGGMCTGGGGGGAGAGCATCCCCTTGAACATCCTCTTGTCTTTCTCTTTCGTGTCAGGAGAGAAGCCCTACAAATGCACCTGGGAGGGCTGCCCCTGGAAGTTTGCACGCTCGGACGAACTGACTCGGCACTTCCGGAAGCACACCGGTCTCAAGCCCTTCCGCTGCTCGGACTGCGACCGCAGCTTCTCCCGCTCCGACCACCTGGCCCTGCACCGGCGGAGGCACCTCATGATGTGAACACATGCTTCTCTTTGGCACCCTTTGGACCCCCGCACGGCGCTGGCCTTTTGCTACGGAGCCCCCCTTTCCTTGCCATCCTTTGGGGCACAGGAGGGGTCACCTCAAGAGGTCCATCCCCGTGGTCAGTTTGGATGCATTTTGCCTCCGAAAAAAGGGATGCTCAGCCTATGCCTCTCCTTGCGTCCGACCACGAGGTCACGTTCCCAGGAAACCGCAAAGCGCAGGGAGAAAAACACCACTCAGTTTCGATATTACGAGCACTGGAACAAAAGTTGGAAATGTAGATTCCACCGGAAGTTTTCTTGGATGGATTTTGGATATGCATATCCCCCTTTTTTTTCTCTCTCCTGAGACTTCATGTCGTCATTGTTTTGAATTTGATGGCGAGATCAATTCCTTTTTTAAATTATGGGATTCGGAAGCATGTGTGTCTGCGTGTGTACGTTTGCATGAGAGAGAGAGAGAAAGGAATTTTTTAAAAACCCAGTTTGAGCCTTTAAGCGGCGGACCTGATCCCATTGCAGCCAGCCTTTCAAAGGGGAAGCAAGGAAAAAGGGGAAGACTTTTTGCGGAACGGAGGACTGTGACGACTCAGTGAGGTTTGAGGTGGGTTTCAGTGGGTTGGAGGAGACAAACGGATGAATGGAGCCTCGGAGGCGGATTTGTGAGTCTGTTTGTTTGGGTGCATGGATCTTCCTCTGCTGAAAGGAACAGGAAACTCGGCTTTCGGACTCGGTACCCAATGAAGATCCAAAGTACTTCCGGGAAACTATTTGCTTGACTCTTGGGGTTTTGAAGACTTTGTTTTCCCCTCTTTTTTTCTCCACTCTTTGGGGAGGTCAAATATGATTTTTTTGCAAAAACTCCGCCTGTGTGTCTTATGTCTTTTTGCAAATTCAGATCAAGGGGAAAAAAAGGTTTATTTACCATTGACCAGTTCCATACTGTTAATTCTTTGCAAGATTAGTTCTGGTATTGCTTTGGATTGAGGAGGAAGTGATCAAAAGGGGAAGTGACCTGCTTCTGGGTTGTTGTGAGTTTTCTGGGCTGTCTGGCCATGTTCCAGAAGCATTCTCTCCTGACGTTTCACCTCCATCTATGACAGGCATCCTTTGAGATTGTGAGGTCTGTTGGAAACTAGACAAGTGAGGTTTATATATCTGCGGAATGTCCAGATTGGGAGAAAGAACTCTTGTCTGTTGGAGATAGGTGTGAATGTTGCAATTGGCCACCTTGATTAGCATTGAATGAGCTTGCAGCTTCAATGCCTGACTCCTTCCTGGGTGAATCCTTTGTTGGGGGGTGTTAGCTTCTGGAACATGGCCATACAGCCCGGAAAACTCACAACAACTCAGTGATTTCAGCCATGAAAGCTTTGGGGCTTCCAGTTGGGCGCAATTCCCATTTCTGCCAGCAGAGGACGCTGCTGGACTCTTATTAAAATGACATGTTTCATAAACCAATGTTGCATTGGTTTCGATTTTGCATTAAAATTCTAATTGTACATTATATATTACATGTAATATTACTAATAATATTGTAGTATAATGGTATAGTACAGTACAGTAATATATAATACTAATATGGTGTTATGCTAATAATATATTGCAAGTACATATAATATTGATCATAATATTATAATTTAATAGTAATAATAATACAATATAATGCAATAACTACATATTACATGTAATATTACTAATAATATTGCAGTATAATGGTATAGTACAATATAGTAATATATAATACTAATATGGTGTTATGCTAATAATATAATATATTGTAAGTACATATAATATTGATCATAATATTATAATTTAATAGTAATAATACAATATAATGGAATAAGTACATATTACATGTAATATTACCAATAATATTCCAGTATAGTGGTATAGTACAATGTAGTAATATATAATACTAATATTGTGCTATGCCAATAATATAATATATTGTATGTACATATAATATTGATCATAATATTATAATTTAATACAATATAATAATACAATATAATGTAATAAGTATATATTACATGTAGTATTTCTAATAATATTCCAGTATAGTGGTATAGTACAATATAGTAATTCATAATACTAATATGGTATTATGCTAATAATATAATATATTGTAAGCACATATAATATTGATCATAATACTATAATTTAATACAATATAATAATTCAATATAATGTAATAAGTATATATTGCATGTAATATTACTAATAATATTGCAGTATAGTGGTATAATACAATATAGTAATATATAATACTAATATTGTGCTATGCCAATTTTTATTTATTTATCGTGTCATCAGCAACCATACCATTGTGTTACAATTAACAGAACAAAACAAACAAACAGATAAAAAAACAACACAAATTTTGCAAACTTGGTAGTTGATTAAATGTCCTTTGACCAGTATCTGGCCACTTGGAGTGCCTCTGGTGTTGCCGCAAGAAGGTCCTCCATTGTGCATGTGGCGGGCTCAGGTTGCATTGCAGCAGGTGGTCAGTGGTTTGTTCTTCTCCGCACTCACATGACGAGGATTCCACTTTGTAGCCCCATTTCTGAAGGTTGGCTCTGCATCTCGTGGTGCCAGAGCGCAGTCTGTTCAGCGCCTTCCAAGTCGCCCAGTCTTCTGTGTGCCCAGGGGGGAGTCTCTCATCTGGTATCAGCCACGGATTGAGGTTCTGGGTTTGGCCTGCCACTTTTGGACTCTCGCTTGCTGGGGTGTTCCAGCGAGTGTCTCTGTAGATCTAAGAAAACTATGTCTTGATTTAAGTCGTTGACGTGCTGACTGATACCCAAACAGGGGATGAGCTGGAGATGTCTCTGCCTTGGTCCTTTCACTATTGGCTGCTACTTCCCGGCGGATGTCAGGTGGTGCAATACCGGCTAAGCAGTGTAATTTCTCCAGTGGTGTGGGGTGCAGACACCCAGTGATAATGCGGCAAGACATCCGGGCGTCCCCTGGGCAACGTCTTTGTAGACGGCCGATTCTCTCGATCCAGAAGCAACCAGAGACGACTTGCTATGCCAATAATATAATATATTGTATGTACATATAATATTGATCATAATATTATAATTTAACACAATATAATACCAAAAAGAATACAATACAATGTAGTAATATATAATACAAATATTGTGCTATGCTAATAATATAATATTGATCATAATATTATAATGTAATACAATATAATACTAATAATACAATACAATAATATAATAATTATATATTACATGTAATATTACTAATAATATTCCAGTATAGTGGTATAGTACAATATAGTAATATATAATACTAATATTGTGCTATGCCAATAACATAAAATATTATATGTACATATAATATTGATCATACTATTGTAATTTAATAGTAATAATAATACAATATAATGCAATAAGTACATATTACATGTAGTATTACTAATAATATTTCAGTATAGTGGTATAGTACAATATAGTAATATATAATACTAATATATTATATTATACCAATAATATAATATATTGTATGTACATATAATATTGATATAATTTAATACAATATAATACTAAAAAGAATACAATATAATGTAGTAAGTATATATTTACTTGTAATATTACTAATAATATTCCAGTATAGTGGTATAGTACAATGTAGTAATATATAATACTAATATTGTGCTATGCTAATAATATAATATTGATCATAATATAATGTAATACAATATAATACTAATAATAATACAATAAAATAATAAATTAATTATATATTAATGTAATATTACAAATAATATTGCATTATAATGTTATAGTACAATATAGTACGGTAATATATAATACTAATATTGTGCTATGCAAATAATATAGTATATTGTAAATAGATATAATGTGTAAGCCACTCTGAGTCCCCTTCAGGGTGAGAGAAGGCAGGGTATAAAATAGTAGTAAATAATAATTACATTGAATTCTCTGGTGAACTGGATTTTTGCTGAATTTCTCTAAGGAGAACCCTCTCTTTGCAAGAATAGCAGTATCCCAGCTTTGGAACGAGCCGCATCAACAATAGTTTTAAGTTGATACAACTTGCAAGGTAATTTATAGCATTTTCCAAAACAGATTCCTGCTAAAGTGACACATGAGCCTTGTTGTATTGCATAACTCCAACCTTCTAATCAATCACAGAACTGAAAATAGGTTCTGGAGTGTTTTGCAAAACATGCCATGTTTGGGCTGCCCTTAACTGTTACATCATTTTATTCCCAGTTTGCTGACTTACCACATTAATAATCATATTTATTATCCAAGTTACCTTTTATTTTTAAACACAGTCCAAAGGCAAGAGCAAATTCCCATTCAGTCTTGGTATCTTTGGGCCAGTCACACTCGCAGCTTCGGAGGGAGGTGAAGGCAAACTCTGCTGAACAGATTCTGATCTAAATCTTGGAAGCTGTTCTGCAAGGTCTAAAGAAATGCCTCCTTTTTCCAAACTACAACTCCCAGGATCTCATAACACTGAGCCATGGCATCTGAAGCAGTGCCAACCTTCTCAGTATTTCAATTGGAAGTGTGGGCCTGCTTTTGGCTGATGAGAGAGTCAAGTTAATGAGTGTTGTTGTTGTTGTTGGCCTTCAAGGTGCTTCAGACTTTGGGTGACTAAGGCAAGTAACCCTCTCACAGAGTTTTCTTCTCAGGATTTATTCAAAGGGCATTTGCCGTTGTCTCCCTCTATGGCTGAGAGAGTGTTGTTCATTCGTTCAGCCGTCTCCGACTCTTTCGTGACTTCATGGACCAGTCCACGCCAGAGCTCCCTGTTGGCCGTCACCACCCCCAGCTCCTTCAAGGTCAGTCCAGTCACTTCAAGGATGCCATCCATCTTGCCCTTGGTCGGCCCCTCTTCCTTTTGCCTTCCACTTTCCCCAGCATAATTGTCTTCTCTAAGCTTTGCTGTCTCCTCATGATGTGGCCAAAGTACTTCAACTTTGTCTCTAGTATCCTTCCCTCCAATGAGCAGCCGGGCTTTATTTCCTGGAGGATGGACTGGTTGGATCTTCTCGCAGTCCAAGGCACTCTCAGAACTTTCCTCCAACACCACAGCTCAAAAGCATCGATCTTCCTTCGCTCAGCCTTCCCGAAGGTCCAGCTCTCACATCCGTAGGTGACTACAGGGAATACCATGGCTTTGACTAGGCGGATCTTTGTTGCCAGTCTGATGTCTCTACTCTTTATTATTTTATCGAGATTGGACATTGCTCTCCTCCCAAGAAGTAAGCGTCTTCTGATTTCCTGGCCACAGTCTGCATCTGCAATCATCTTTGCGCCTAGAAATACAAAGTCTGTCTGGCTGAGAGAGTGGGACCTGGCTAAAGTCACTCAGTGGGTTCGCAACCACAATCTGCTTGCTTGCTTGCTTGCGTCCTTCCTTCCTTCCTTCCTTCCTTCCTTCCTTCCTTCCTTCCTTCCTTCCTTTCTTTCCTTCCCTCTTTCTTTCCTTCTTTTACTGTCTTTTCTCCCTCCTTCCTTTCTCTCATTCTTCTTTAGCTTCCTTCCATCCTGTCTTCCTTCCTTCCTTCCTTCCTTCCTTCCTTCCTTCCTTCCTTCCTTCCTTCTTATCTTTCTTCCTGCATTTACTTTCTTCTTTCCTTCCTTTCTCTTCTTCTCCTTCCTTCTTCTTCTTTTCTTCCCTTCCTTTCTTCCTTCCTTCTTCCTTTCCTTCCATCCTTCTCTTCCTCCTTCTTCCTTCCATTCTTCCCTTTCACCATTTCATCCTTCCTTCCTTCTCTCCCACTTTCTCCTTCCCTTCCCTCTCTTTCCTTTATCCTTCCCTTCCTTCTTCCTTTCCTCCTTCCTGCCTTCCTTCCTCATTCCCTTCCTTCCTTTCTTCATTTTCCTTGTATCTTCCTTCCTTCCTTCCTTCCTTCCTTCCTTCCTTCCTTCCTTCCTTCCTTCCTTCCTTCCTCACTTCCTTCTCCCTTTCTCCCCATTTTCCTCATTCCCTTCCTTCTTTTTCTTTTCTTTCTTTCCCACTTTCTCCCTTCCTATTTTCCTCCCTCATTCCCTTTCTTTCTTTCTTCCTTCTTTTTTCCTTTTTTAAAAAATCTTTATTTCCGCTTTCTCCTTTCCTGTCTTCCTTTCTCATTCCCTCCTTTTCTTCTCACTTTCTCCCTTCCCATCTTCCTCATTCATTCCCTTCCTTCCTTTTCTTCCTTTTACTTTTATCTCTCTTCCCCACTTTTGCCCTCCCTCCCTCCCTGTCTTCTTTTTCTTTCCCTTTCTCCTTTCCTCTCTTTCTATGGGGTGGGGAGCGTCCTAAAGCTGCTTTTGCAGTCAGTCAGGAATAACTCAAAGGCACACAGCAAAGAAGGAACTTCTAAAGCTTGCTGTTTCATGCCTAGCCCAGCCCTCATTCACTAGCCACTGGCGCCAATACTGGGCCCTTTTGGAGCTGGGTCCTCTAGGGCTGGACAATTCTGCTTTGCCATTATGGGCTCCAAGAATGACTGGTTTGGCCACTCCACCCTACAGAGGGTAAAAATGTTGCCCCTTTCCCCTGTATATCTGTTGTGGTGTGCTTCCAGATCGCATCCTGAGACTCACTCCGCTAAGGGAGGTCTGGCTGCAAGGCCTTTGCAAGACTTGAGCACTCGGAGGCCGTTCCTTTGCAGTTCAGCCATCAGTCAAGGTCAGTGTGAAGGTAGAGATAAAGGCAATAAGAGCAAAGTCCTGGTCCCATGCCGCTGCCTTCTTCCTTCCCATAGGAATTTGCACCTTTGATATCCTGTTGCCCCGAAAATAAGACCTAACTGAAAAATAAGTCCTAGCATGATGCTCATCATATAAGCCCTACCCCCAAAATAAGCCCTAGTTTAAGATTGTCAGATTTAGTAGTAGTATGTCCATTGCAACACACTTGATGTATGTATTGAATCATTATGAAATAATATAGGATATTGACATTATTCATACTTAAAAATAGTAAAAGATAATCTATAAATTTGGGGATGATGTTCCAGAAGAAGACATGATATTATATATACATACATACATACATATATATATATATATATATATATATATATCTCACACACAAACACAAATGTAGTATACATGTAGATTTCAATGTGTCGTCAAAAGCTTTCATGGCTGGAATCACTAGGTTGCTGTGAGTTTTCTGGGCTGTATTGCCATGTTCCAGAAGCTAACACCTCCCAACAAATGATCCCAACAAAGAACAAGCCCTATGAGGAATGGCTTAAGGAGCTGGGCATGTTTAGCCTGAAGAAGAGAAGGCTGAGAGGAGATATGATAGCCATGTATAAATATGTGAGAGGAAGCCACAGGGAGGAGGGAGCAAACTTGTTTTCTGCTTCCCTGGAGACTAGGATGCGGAACAATGGCTTCAAACTACAAGAGAGGAGATTCCATCTGAACATTAGGAAGAACTTCCTGACTGTGAGAGCCGTTCAGCAGTGGAACTCTCTGCCCCAGAGTGTGGTGGAGGTTCCTTCTTTGGAGGCTTTTAAACAGAGGCTGGATGGCCATCTGTCAGGGGTGAATGCAATATTCCTGCTTCTTGGCAGGGGGTTGGACCGGATGGCACATGAGGTCTCTTCCAACTCTTTGATTCTATGATTCACCCAGGCAGGAAGCAGCCAGGCTTTGAAGCTGCAAGCTCATTCAATGCTAATCAAGCTGGCCAATTGCAACATTCACACTTTCCTCAAGCAGACAAGAGTTCTTTCTCCCACCCTGGATATTATTCAACAGGTAAATAAACCCCACTTACCTAGTTTCCAACAGACCTCACAACATCTGAGGATGCCTGACATAGATGTGGGTGAAACGTCAGGAGAAAATGCTTCTGGCACATGGCCATACAGCCCAGAAAACTCACAGAAACCTACATGTAGATGTTTGTCCATGAATAAACAAATAGATTGTACATGGGGGGGAGGGGAAGTAAGACCTTGGCCTGAAAATAAACCCTAAAATGCCAAAATCAATATAAGGCCCGGTTTTATTTTTGGTGCAAGATTCAGGAAGAAGGCAGTGAAGGCATCTTCAGCCTGGAAAATGCCTGGCAGGTCAAAAGTTAGGTTAAACCTGGGTTCGAATCCTGTTTCAGATGTGGATTTCTGGCAAGTCGCACTCTCTCGGCCTCAAATGGAGGCGGTGGAAACCTCTTCTGAAGAAACCTGGCACTGTAAACACAACACATAACGCATGATTCTGAATGATACAAATCTTTTATTCCGTTTTATATATAAATTCCAAAAAAAACCCAATATACACACAGAGCTCCTACTGGAACTCACAACCCGGATGTTTTGTTTGTATTTTATTTTTCTCTTTTTAGTAAATAAAAAATGGCAGAGGAGAAAGATTCCTTCTTCCAAAGACATCCTAGTCTTATATGCAATGCTCCCAACCATTACATATGATGCCACCAAAGGAGAGTCATGGCTCTCCTTGTGAGGCGAAAAGGAACGAATCCTCCTTCCTTCTTTGCTTCTGGAGTTTGGTGTGAGTCTTTGTGCCAGCTCAAAGAAAACTAACGCTCACCTATTCCCACTGTCTGAGTAAAGATACCAATGCATTAAGTGTTTCTGGATGCCATATATGTGTGTGTATGCATATAAGTAAAGGTACATGTGCTCCCTTGACATTAAGTCTAGTCGTGTCCGACTCAGGGGTCGTGCTCATCTCCATTTCTATGCCAAAGAGCCGGCGTTGTCCGTAGACACCTTCAAGGTCATGTGGCCAGCATGACCACATGGAGTGCCATTATCTTCCCACCAAGGTAGTACCTATTGATTTCACATTTGCATGTTTTCGAACTGCTAGGTTGGCAGAAGCTGGGGCTAACAGCAGGAGCTCACCCCGCTCTCCGGATTCAAACTGCCAACCTTTTGATCAGTAAGTTCAACAGCTCAGTGGTTTAACCTGTTGCACAACTGGGGGCTCCTGTGTATGCATATAAATACATATAAATACATATACATTTAGATATGTATATATCTATAGGTAAAGGTAAAGGTTTTCCCCTGACATTAAGTCCAGTTGTGTCCGACTCTGGGGTGTGGTGCTCATCTCCATTTCTAAATCGAAGAGCCGGCYTTGTCCGTAGACACCTTCAAGGGCATGTGGCCAGCATGACTGCATGGAGTGCCATTATCTTCCCACCAAGGCAGTACCTATAGATCTCACWTCTGRATGTTTTTGAACTGCTAGGTTGGCAGAAGCTGGGGCTAACATCAGYAGCTCACCCCACTCTCCGGATTCAAACTGCCAACCTTTTGGTCCACAAGTTCAGCAGCTCAGTGGTTTAACCTGCTGCAAAARATATACATTTAGATATGTATATATCTATAGGTAAAGGTTTTCCCCTGACACTAAGTCCAGTTGTGTCCGACTCTGGGGTGTGGTGCACATCTCCATTTCTAAACCAAAGAGCCGGTGTTGTCATGTGGCTAAGGTCATGTGGCTGGCATGACTGCATGGAGCGCCGTTATATCTATACATCTCCTTATATGGCAACTATTGGGGGCTATGGGGCTATATGGGACTTTCAAAGAAAGAGCCACACACATTGACTGGCCCCATACAATACACAACAATAAATATTTTGCCCCCAAATTCTCTATAGGCTGCATATGTCACTGTTTTTTGGGACTTCTATGGGCCATATTGCCTCCCCGTATCCCTTTGCAACCAATATTACACACCAAAGTACCCGAATTGTAGTATTCTGCAAGCTCTCCGTTGGGCACAACCAAGCAGAAGCATTTGGAAGCCTCAGTCTTTGGAAGGAGGAATGCTTCCCTCCTGTTAACCTTAGAGTCCTGTTACAAAATGCCGACATAATTCCGTCTAAATTACAAAATGCACACTTCCCTCCTGCAGGTCTCCTTTTTGTGGTTCTCCCAAACACACTCGCACACATAACTACACACGGGACTCTTTATCCCTCCTGGTTTGCATATACAAAATTCTGTACAGTTCTATATACAAAGTCCCACCCTTTCAGGGTGAACGAAGAAGCCCTTGATTGTGTTCGCTGTAGCATTTTGAACAGGGAACGATGGGCAGAAGGCCACAAATGTTTGCAAAGAGTCTGTGCTTTAATTTTGGCGAAAAGAAAAGAATTGAGAGAGGTGTCAGGAGAGACCCTAAATTGGACCCCAATGCGATACTCTTGGAATCTGGTATTCAACAACCTTTTTGGCAAAGGAGAGAGCATTTTCTTCACACAAAGCGATATGGAAAGGAGAAATTGTGCATAGAAGTATTTTCCATACGGAAAACTGCACAGAAATCACTTCTTTCTTTGCACAATAACTACACATTTTGCATAGAACACACCCTGAATTGCAGTCTTTGCACAATGAGAAAAACATAGTCAAAATTGCCCACTGTCAGGATCACTATATCAGCCTGGAACTGGCTGCTTTGGTTCTTTGTCATAGAGAAGGGAGGTGGAGAAGTCACTGTTTTGTGAAGGAAATAGAAATTGCAGTTGACACAGTGTTTGGCCACTAGAGGGCGGATGGGAGTTGGGCTGTTATAGGGTGTTTAAGTGGGAAACTTTAGAACTGTCTTTGAGGGATTGAGTAAAGAAGGAAATAAATCATTTGTCTCCGGCGTATTGTTGCTGCAAGCTTGATTTCAACTTCAGGATCTTCCAGAGTCTTACTGTGACTGACATTCTGCATCGACACCGAAATACAACAGCGCCTGAGCTCTGCAAGTGCAGCATTTTTCCAAATGAAGCAGAGAGTGTTTGAGGACTGGGACATCCGTAGGGATATCAAGGTGCTTGCTTATAAAGCTATTGTTCTCCCAACCCTGCTATATGCCTGCGAGACGTGGACTGTCTACAGACATCACATGCAACTCCCGGAATGATTCCATCAGCACTGCCTCCGGAAAATCCTACAAATCTCTTGGGAAGACAGGCGGACAAACGTCAGCGTGCTGGAAGAAGCAAAGGCCACCAGCATTGAAGCGATGGTCCTCCGCCATCAACTCCGCTGGACCGGCCACGTTGTCCGGATGCCTGATCACCATTTCCCAAAGCAGTTGCTCTACTCTGAAGTCAAGAATGGAAAACAATGTTGGTGGACAGGAAAAAAAGATTTAAAGATGGGCTCAAAGCCAGCCTTAAAATCTCTGGCATAGACACTGAGAACTGGGAAGCCCTGACCCTTGAACGCTCCAGTTGATGGTCAGCTGTGACCAGCAGTGCTGCAGAATTTGAAGAGGCACGAATAGAGGGCGAAAGAGAGAAACGTGCCAAGAGGAAGGCGCGTCAAGCCAACCCCGACTGAGACCGCCTTCTACCTGGAAACCAATGCCCTCACTGTGGGAGAACATGCAGAGCAAGAACAGGGCTCCACAGTTACCTACGGACCCACCGGAATACTGATCCTGGAAGTCTATCCTACTCGGCCAACGAGGGATCGCCTAAGTAAGTAAGTAAGTAAGTAAGTAAGTAAGTAAGTAAAAGCATGGATCTCACACTCAACCCATGCTCTTCCTACATAGAAAATGTGTATTTTTTCCTCTCAAGGGAGGGATGCAATTTGGCACAGAAAAGGAGAGGCGGAGGGAAGACTTGGCACAAAAAGGCACCATCCCTTTGATGTTCCTGCATTCTCGTGTATCAATCCCTTCCCAGTACTTATTCTAATGGCAACAAATGGGAAATGTGATAGACATATCTCCCCCAAAACCCCAGCTGATTCATGAAGGCACTGCATTACAGATGAGCACAAGGCAATAGGTATGTAGCAAAGGGAGGCATGCCCTCAGAGTTGGGCAACCCTTTGTTTTGGGTTCTGCAGAACTAAACTGGGCAAGAAACGCCCCTGGAAGGACCACCGTAAGTCGAGAAGGATTTAAGGACACAATGTACAATCATGACAGGATGGTTTCACGTGCAAAGCTGGACACGTAGCCCTTTGTCAAAACTGAGGGCGAGGAAAAAGGGTGAGGAAAGGGACCTCCGTGCCCATCCAGTCTTCCTCCTCCCTAAAAAGTTCAAAGCAAAGAGCAAGTCCGTTTCCAATGCTCAAGCTGAAGAGGAGAGAAAGTACTATCTAGTTCAGTTGAGCCTTTAAGCTGGAGACGGTGAGAAAAGCATCCCACAAAGACATTGTTCCTTGCTTTGTTTTCAGTCCTGTTTCCACAGAGGCTTTGAAATCCACCAAAATAGGTGAGGGTTCTCAGTCCATCCCAGGGTTGTATGCTGCAGGCACAGCATTATGGTTTCTCTGCATCGCTATTTCCCTCCGTGGTTCATAGAAAGAGATGACAATCCAAAGGTAAGGCCTTCACTGGGATGTTGTTTACATGCTTCTGGCAAAAAGAAGCATATGGATCTCTCTCTGCAAAAAATGCCTTGGAGGAAACCTCGTGCCAATGAGTTTTGGGAGTGTCTTCCTTTCTGCACTGATGACGTTTCATGCCAAGGCAAGCCCACCAAAGTCCTGCAGGATTATGAAGAGCACAAGGTGATGCAGAGGTTTTCCTAGGAAGCCGAGAGAGGCAGAAATAAATAGCACGTTCCTCCAGAGTCCAGGGGAGAGATGGAAGCTTCCCACCTGTGGTTCTGTTCCTTCCTGGGAGCAATAACCCCTCTACCCAGAACATCCTGTGGCATCAGCTGGCTGCCAGGACTGTCAGTGGCCTTTGATCGCTGCTGGGTTCCTGTGTCCAAAGCAGAGGCAAGAGGAAGAGGGAGAGAAGGAAGGAGGCCAGGAGAGGAGGAGGAGGAAGGGGTTCAGTTCTGGTGCCGCTTCATGTGGAGGGCCAGGTGGTCCGAGCGGGAGAAGCAGCGCCCGCAGGCCAGGCACTTGAAGGGCTTGGCCCCGGTGTGCTTGCGGTAATGCCGGGTGAGTTCATCCGAGCGGGCAAAGCGCCAGTCGCAGCCCTCCCAGGTACATTTGTAGGGCTTCTCACCTGGGCAGGAAGGGGAGAAAGACACAGGGTGTCAGCATTCCCATTCCCCATTTCCCCCCAATTCCTTTGCTCAAGAGTCACCTTCACCCCCCTAACTCTAGCAGGGAGCAGGGTTATTATTATTATTATTATTAGTAGTAGTAGTAGTAGTAGTAGTAGTAGTAGTAGTGGAGCTCCCAGTGGCGCAGTGGGTTAAACTGCTGAGCTGCTAAACTTGCTGATGGAAAGGATGCTGGTTTGAATCCAGGGAATGGGGTGAGCTACCGCTGTCAGCCCTAGCTTTTACCAACCTAGCAGTTTGAAAACAATAGAGCTCCCAGTGGTGCAGTGGGTTAAACCCCTGTGCCAGCAGGACTGAAGACCGACAGGTCGCAATTTCAAATCCGGGGAGAGCACGGATGAGCTCCCTCTATCAGCTCCAGCTCCCCATGCGGGGACATGAGAGAAGCCTCCCAGGATGATAAAACATCAAAACATCCAGGCGTTCCCTGGGCAACGTTCTTGCAGACGGCCAATTCTCTCACACCAGAAGCAACTTGCAGTTTCTCAAGTCACTCCTGATACGACAAAAACATGCAAAATGTGAGTAGATCAATAGATCAACATTGGGCGAAAAGGGGTGTTTTTGCTCCAAATGGTGACTTTCCAAACTGTTGATTCTGATATTTCAAGCGTCCTTTCTAGGTGATATCAGGGGGGTTGAAGTCAGGTTCCCCCATGCAGTTAATGCAGAGATCTCCTCCAAGATATCCCACCAAGATAGCTCACCATACAACACCACCAAGTGTTGTAATGGATACTTTTTTATTTTTAAACCTTTGTGCCAGCAGACCAACAGGTCGGAGTTTAGAAACTGGGGAGAGCGTGGATGAGCTCCCTTTGTCATCTCTAGCTCCTATGCGGGGAGATGAGAGAAGCCTCCCACAAGGATGGTTTTTTTGGTCATGTCAGGAGCATGTCTTCTGGTGTGAGAGAATTGGCCGTCTGCAAGGACGTTGCCCAGGGGACGCCGGATGATTTGATGTTTTTATCATCCTTGTGGGAGGCTTCTCTCATGTCCCCCATGAGGAGCTGGAGCTGATAGAGGGAGCTCATCCGCCTCTCCCCGGATTCGAACCTTGTGACCTGTCAGTCTTCAGTCCTGCCAGCACAGGGGTTCCTATATATATAGTGGGGACATGAGAGAAGCCTCCCACAAGGATGATAAAACATCAAATCATCCCAGGCGTCCCCTGGGCAACGTCCTTGCAGACGGCCAATTCTCTCACACCAGAAGCAACTTGCTCCTGACATGACAAAAAAATCCTTGTGGGAGGCTTCTCTCATGTCCTCGCATGAGGAGCTGGAGCTGACAGAGGGAGCTCATCCGCCTCTCCCCGGATTCGAACCTGCGACCTGTCGGTCTTCAGTCCTGCCCACACAGGGGTTTAACCCACTGCACCACCGGGGGCTACAAGGATGGTAAAACATCAAAACATCCCAGCATCCCCTTAGCAACGTCCTTGCAGACGGCCAATTCGCTCACACCAGAAGCAACTTGCAGTTTATCCAGTTGCTCCTAACCCAAGCTTACGTTATCCTCAAAATAACCCTACCAGGTAGGCCAAGCCAAGAGCAACCAGAGTCTTTGGATGGCCAAAGGTTGTTCCAAATGGCACGCACGCACCTGTCTCCGGCACAAAGCAGGTGCAAAGCAAGGTAGCGACCGGATCAGGCCAGACCCTTGTAAGCCTTGGGCGGTGAAGTTGCATTTTATGACTCCCTTATAGAGGAATCACAGGGCCCTTTATGAGTATTTTATAGCACACGGTACAGAAGGAGGGGGTGAGAAGTACCACCTGAGGGCTATTTTGGGCACCATTGTCCCGGGGAGGGCAGCGCTCCCTTCCAAACAATGGCCAGAGTGGTTTCCTGGAGGGAAGCGGAATGCCTGCCATTGTCCCTCGGGCTGGCTCCTGCTCCGGGCAACACGGCAGGCGGCCACAAACAATGGGCCCAGCGGCCACCGGAGACCCAGTTACATATTTAATCTCCCAAGGCTGCCAGAGCCAGGCGAAAGGAAGCCTCCCATAGATCCAGAGGCAGGACGCTTGGAAAGGGAACCCAGCAGAGATCCACACAATCCAGAGAGCCTGGGCATTGAAGAATGGCAGAAGAGGGACTTCTCCTTTGAGGGGTGGACTTTGGTGCTCTTGTGGTGACCAATTGGAGCACCCCATGCATCATTATTATTATAATTATTATTATTATTATTATTATTATTATTATTACTATTATTTTGTCATGTCAGGGGAAAACCTTTACCTACTTTAGTAGTAGTAGTAGTAGTAAAGGTGAAGGTTTCCCCTGACATTAAGTCTAGTCATGTCCGGCTCTGGGTGGTGGTGCTTATCTCCATTTCTGTCGAAGACCCGGCATTGTCCATAGACACCTCCTAGGTCATGTGGCTGGCATGTTACCTTACAGCAGAAGCGGTGCTTATTGATCGACTCATATTTTGCATGTTTTCAAACTTTTTTTTTTGTCATGTCAGGAGCGACTTGAGAAACTGCAAGTTGCTTCTGGTGTGAGAGAATTGGCCATCTGCAAGGACGTTGCCCAGGGGACGCTGGGATGTTTTGATGTTTTACCATCCTTCTGGGAGACTTCTTAATTATAATAATTAAGTTAAACCACTGAGCTGCTGAACTTGTTGACTGAAAGGTTGGCGGTTCGAATGCAGGGAGTGGGATGAACTCCTGCTGTTAGGCCCAGCTTCTGCCAACCTAGCAGTTCGAAAACATGCAAATATGGGTAGATCAATATGTACCGCTTCTGCAGAAAGGACTTAATGTCAGGAGAAAACCTTTACCTACTTTAGTAGCAGTAGTAGTAAAGTTGACATTAAGTCTAGACATGTCCGGCTCTGGGTGGTGGTGCTCATCTCTATTTCTAAGTCGAAGAGCCGGCATTGTCCGTAGACACCTCCAAGGTCATGTGGCTGGCAAGGCTACATAGAGTTCTGTTACCTTACAGCAGAAGTGGTGCCTATTGATCTACTCACATTGTGCATGTTTTCAAATCTTTTTTTTTTTTGTCGTGTCAGGAGCGACTTGAGAAACTGCAAGTTGCTTCTGGTGTGAGAGAATTGGCTGTCTGCAAGGACGTTGTCCAGGGGACGCAGGGAAGTTTTGATGTTTTATCATCCTTGTGGGAGGCTTGTCTCATGCGGAGCTGGAGCTGACAGAGGGAGCTCATCTGTGCTCTTCCAGGATTTGAATCTCCAACCTGTCGGTCTTGTCCTACCAGCACATGGGTTTAACCCACTGCACCACTGGGGGCTCCACCCCATGCATTGAAAAGGAAGAGACCACCAAATGACTCACTCTCTTTCTCTCTGTCCCCCAAAGGAAAAGCCACACAGCAAAACAATCACGGAAAATAACAAAGCCCACAAAGCAAGGATTTTCTGAACAGAGCGTAACAGCCCAAAGGCCAAGACAGATGCCCATAAATGGATTTACGAGGGAACAAGGGATGTGCTGATAAAACAACAAGGTGAACATTGGCCCCGTGGCATTGGAGAACATTGCAATGCACTTGGCACCTTCCTTGCTGCCTGGGGCAGTTGTTTCAACTCTAAGGGTTTCATCCAGAATCTAGATCAGTGGTTCCCAACCAACTGCTTTGAAAACTATTTTCCTGCTTCTTGGTAGGGCGTTGGGCTGGATGGCCCACGAGGTCTCTCCAACTCTATGATTCTATGACTATTGGTCCTCCAAGTGTTTTACACTTCAACTCCTAGAATAATAGAATCATAGAGTTGGAAGAGACCTCATGGGTCATCTAGTCCAACCCCATTCTGCCATGAAGCAGGAAAATTGCATTCAAAGCACTCCCGACAGATGGCCATCTAGCGAAGGAGACTCCAAAGAAAGAGCCTCCACCACACTCTAAGGCAGAGAGTTCCACTGCTGAACAGCTCTCACAGTCAGGAAGTTCTTCCTAATGTTCAGATGGAATCTCCTTTCTTGTAGTTTGAAGCCATTGTTCTGCCTCCTCCTGGAAGAGCAGAAAACAAGCTGCCTCCCTCCTCCCTATGAATTCTTCTCACATATTTCTACATGGCTATCATATCTCCTCTCAGCCTTCTCTTCTTCAGGCTAAACATGCCCAACTCTTTAAGCCGCTCCTCATAGGGCTTGTTCTCCAGACCCTTGATCATTTTAGTCGCCCTCCTCTGGACACATTCCAGCTTGTCAACAACTCTCTTCAATTGTGGTGCCCAGAATTGGACACAATATTCCAGGTGTGGTCTAACCAAGGCAGAAGAGAGCATGGGGGGCATGATTACTTCCCTAGATCTAGACACTATACTCCTATTGATGCAGACCAAAATCCCATTGGCTTTTTTTGCTGCTGCATCACATTGTTGGCTCATGTTTAACTTGTTGTTCACGAGGACTCCAAGATCTTTTTCACACGTACTGCTCACTAGCCATGTGTCCCCCATCCCAGCCATCTTCCCAGCTGTTAGGAATTGTGGGAGTTGAAGTCCAAAACACCTGGTGGACCAAAGGTTGGGAAACACTGATTGATACATGATTTGGGATTCAGTAGCTTAACATGTGTTACTCTTTGTCATGTTATTGTTTTAATTGGAAATCATTTCAAACTTCCCTCCCAAAGAGCATCAGTCGGTCCTGCTCTATGGTTCGGCAGAATGTGCATCTTGCAATAAATTTTAGGACTTGGGGCAGGATAGATTTTGAATAAACCAGACAGCAATGCATTCTCCTTTCAAAGCTGGTGATGTGGCAATTGGTTATAGGCAAAGGGCTCCTCTAAAGAATTAATGGCCTCTCTGTCCCCACTGCAGGTAACCGCCCTTGCCCACTTACCGGTGTGGGTCCTCTGGTGCGCTTTCAGGTGGGAACTTTTGGTGTAAACCTTTGGGCAACCTGCAAAGGATAAACATGATGGATCAGGGCAGGGAGACGGCCTCAATCACTGGACCAAATTTGGCACAAATACCCAATATGCAAAATTTGAATACTGGTACCATTGAAAGAGATTGATTTTGTTATTTGGGAGTTGTAGTTGCGGGGATTTATAGTTCACCTACAATCAAAGAGCATTCTGAACTCCACAAATGATGGAACTGAACTAAACTTGGAACACAGAACTCCCATGACCATCAGAAAATACTGAAAGGGTTTGGTGGCATTGACCTTGACTTTTGGAGTTGTAGTTCACCTACATCCAGAGAGCACTGTGGGCTCAAACAAGGATGGATCTGGACCAAACTTGGCACAAATACCCATATGCCCAAATGTGAATACTGATGGAGTTTGGGGAAAATAGACCTTGACATTTGGGAGTTGTAGTTGCTGGGATTTGCAATTCACCTACAATCAAAGAGCATTCTGAGCCCCACCAACTATAGAATTGGGCCAAACTTCCCACACAGAAACCCCATGACCAACAGAAAATACTATGTTTTCTGATGGTCTTTGGCAACCCCTCTGACACCTCCTCATGACCCCCCCCCCTGATAGTCCCTACCCCCAGGTCAAGAAACACTGGTCTAAAGTTTGAAAATTAAGCAGGGATTTGGATGGCAATGGGGAAAAACCAGAGTCTAAATTCCTGTCTGGCAACAGCAGATCCCAGGATCAGGCTAAATGGCCATCTGTCAAGAGGGCTTTGGTTGTGCTTTCTTGCCAGGCAAAAGGGGCTTGAACTGCATGGCCCTTGAGATTTCTTCCAATCTACGATTTGGTCAGTTGGAACAATGGCTATTTTTTTTTTTTTTGGTCGTGTCAGGAGCTCCTGTTGTGAGAGAATTGGCCGTCTGCAAGGACGTTGCCCAGGGGACGCCAGGATGATTTGATGTTTTTATCATCCTTGTGGGAGGCTTCTCTCATGTCCCCGCATGAGGAGCTGGAGCTGTTAGAGGGAGCTCATCCGCCTCTCTCCGGATTTGAATCTGCAACCTGTCGGTCTTCAGTCCTGCAGGCACAGGGCTTTAACCCACTGTGCCACCGGGGGCTCCATACAATGGCTATTAGCTCATGGCACAAGAAATGTGTGAAAATAAAAGTCTAAACATCTCTCTCGCGAATGCAAATCCTATAGGCACATGACTGTGAAACCATCTATAGCTATATCTACATCTACCTATCTATCTATATAATAAATATGAAAATATGTTTGTATGTAGGTTTCTGGGTGTTTTCCAAGACGGTTCTCACATCTAGAGAGCCTTGTGACTCCTACCAAACTTGGATGTTGAGAGTTATAGTTCACCCGCATCCAGAGAGCCCTGTGAATCCTGCTGCTGGTGGATCTGGACCAAACTGCGGCACACAGACCCATCAAGACCAACTTTAACTACTGGTTCACTTAGGTGCAATGGTAGACGATGAAGGGAGTTATAGTTCACCCCAGTCCCTGTGCATTTCCTAATGTGACCATTCATAAAACCCAACATCAAACTATGATTACTTCTAATAAATAGTGTTACAAATTGCTTAACTCGGGCATCACCCAGTACCTAAGATGGTGTAATATATATGAATAAAGCCCCCCGAGTTTCCTCCTGTTGAGTAGAGAGGGCCTGTTTTACTTCAATACCTGGATAGTCGCAATGGTGAATCCTCCTCTTCTCCAGCTCGGGGTTGTTCCTCCGGTTGTATTTGGGGGTCTGCAGCACGGCATGGCCCTGGGTGAGGGTCCCAAGGCCATTGTTGAGCGCAGGGGCCCTGAGCCCGAAGGTGCATTCGTAGGGCGGTGGAGGCGAGAGGGCGTTGATCAGCTCCGGCTGGTTTTCAGGGCTCCCAGGCTGAGAGTTGGGGGGTGACGGGGGCAAGTGGACACTTGGCGTGGGGTAGTATTCACCGAGCAAGCCAAACCCACTCGGAGAGGCCACCGGGAAGGGCTTGGCAGCATGCCGAGAGGCCAAAGCAGAGTTGGTGCCGGTGGACATGGCCACACCATGGATGGTGCTGATTGCGGTGGTGCCGCAGGTGGAGTGGGCCATGGTCGTCATCTCCCCTGCGCTGCCTCCGGTGCCGATGGGCAACTGATACAGTGAGAGCGGGATCTCAGAAGGTGCCTCTTGCTTGACAAAGATGCCGCTTGCGGACACCGACTGGGGCAGGCTGAAGACGCTGGTGAAGTCCGGCAAGGCCTGAGTGGACACAGAGGAGGAGGAGGAAGAGGAGGAAGAGCAGGGCTGGGTAAAGCAGGTGTCTGGCTCCATCTTGACCACAGGAAATGGAACCAAAGGCTTGGCCGGGCGGTAGAGGCCCGTCCGCAGGTGGGTGGTGTCCGGCAAGATCACGTTGATGTTCACACTGTACGGAGAGGGTTTTTCAGTGGAGAAATACTCGTCCACCACCGAGGCACTCTCCCGCCGGTACTTCTTGTCTGGCAAGGCAGGCGCTGGGAGAGATTGCCCCGAGAGGTACTTGTCCATCTCCGAACGGGCCTAAAAGGGCAGGAGAAAAAGACAACAAATGTAAGGGAAAGGGATTCCAATGGCAGCGTCAGTGGGTCTTTCATTATTCTCTGACTGTGAATCTTTAAGGAGGACAATATCAAGCATGGACATGTGAAAAATGTGGTCAGCAAAGAATATATCCAAAGGGTCAGAAAGGTTTTGGAGAGCAAATTAAATGGCGGAAATACAACCAAGGCTCTCAACACCGGGGCCATCCCCGTCATCAGATACACTGGTGGGATTGTGAACTGGACACAAGCAGTGCTGGTGGATCTGGACAGAAAAACAAGACAACTGATGACAATCCACTATTCCTTACACCCATATAGTGATGTCTACATGGGTGTAAGGAAAAGTGGGTAATTCTATGTTTGTTTGTTTGTTTGTTTCTTTGTTTTTGTCGTGTCAGGAGAAACCTGATAAACTGCAAGTTGCTTCTGGTGTGAGAGAATTGGCTGTCTGCAAGGACGTTGCCCAAGGAACGGCCAGATGATTTGATGTTTTTATCATCCTTGTGGGAGGCTTCTCTCATGTCCCCGCATGAAGAGCTGGAGCTGATAGAGGGAGCTCATCCGCCTCTCCCCGGATTTGAACCTGTGACCTGTCAGTCTTCAGTCCTGCCGGCACAGGGGTTTAACCCACTGCACCACGGGGGGCTCCGATTCTATGCTTATGTTGGTGTTATTGTATTTTGCTTATGTTGTGACTCTATGTTTTGATGTTGCTTGGAAACCGCCCTGAGTTTCCCTGCAGGAGATAGAGCAGTATATAAATAAAGTTATTATTATTATTATTATTATTATTATTATTATTATTATTGTTATTATTATTATTATTATTATGTCAATAGTAGAAAACTGCTTAAAGTGCAAAAGACAAAGAAAGAATACTGTAAAAATACAATGCAGAGCAGAAGACAAAACTGGCAAAAGAAGGCTCTCCCTTGACAGTTCCCGGAAAAAAATGAGAGCAAAACTGACAAAGGAAAAAATGGATGTGGCTCACAAAGAAGACGGAGGGCCTGATTCTGGCAGCACCAGAACAAGCCAGTAGAACCAATGCCATCAAAGCCAGAATTGAAAAGTCAACAACAGATCCCAAGTGTAGACTCTGGACGGAAGCAGACGAAATGATGGATCAAACACTCAGCAGCTGCAAGAAGATCGCACAGACGGACAATAAGCAGAGGTACAACACCGTTGCTCAGATGATCCATTGCAACTTGTGCCACAAATATATCTGCCTGAGACAAAGAACTGATGGGATCACAAACCCAAAAAAGTCACAGAAAATGAACACATCAAACAACTCTGGGACTTCCGAATTCAGAATGACAGAGTTGGAGCACAATACTCCTGACCACACGAACGTTGAAAAAAACAAAGTATGGATTGTCGATGTTGCAATCCCAGGCAACAGCAGAATTGTCAAGATAAAACTGGAAAAGCTTACACAATATGAGGATTTAAAGATCGAACTGCGAAGACTCTGGCACAAGCCAGTCAAGGTGGTCCCAGTGGTGATTGGCACACTGGGTGCAGTACCTAAAGACCTTGGCCTGCACTTAAACACAATTGGCGCTGACAAAATTGCCACTTGTCAGCTGCAAAAGGCCATCCTACTTGGATCTGCATGCATTTTTTGTCAATACATCATATAGTCGTAGACACTTGGGAAGTGTCCAATACAACAGCCATCAGAGTAATCTTGTTTACTATGTTATGTATCTAATAATAATAATAATAATAATAATAATAATAATAATAATAGATCCTAGCCTTTGTAAACAACATACGTGGTACGGAGGGGGGGGGCAGGGACAAAGGAATGCATGGGAGATTTCCATGCCACGCAAGGAAACCTCCCTTTTTCTTGGATAGGAAAAACCGCCTCCCCATGTTACTTCCAATGCCTCAAAGCAATGAAGGCCATGACCGAAGATGTGGAAGGAAAGGCAAGGATCGTTCCAAGCTCCGTCCGCCTCTTGGCCCACATTCCGGCACAAGATACCGCTCTTAAACAGAATGTACTTGCAGCGTTGCTTGGCTCAATGTCAATCTTTATTGTCTCTCTGGTAAAATATTGACCAAGGCAAATATTTGCTCCTCGGATCATTCAGTCTTGGTATTGACCTCAAGCTCAGCCGGTTTCGTCTCTTGCCTGCTTCTCTTCCTTCTAAAACGCTCTTGAGGATAAGATCCTCCCCAGGAGGAGAAGGTTGGGTTTTAGTCTGAACTTTGAAGGCGGTTGAACTTGAACGTTTTGAGGGGAGCGATGGAGGAGGAAAATGGGTTTCTGCACCTTGAACAGCTCCTTTAAAGTTCAGACTATAACCCAGAATGGGAGTCACTGTCTCTCTCAGCTATCCCTATCTCCTTCTTTCATAAGTTCAGGTCCATCTTCATCTTCCAATGTTCTTGTGCTCTTCCCAGTTCATTGTGGTCCCAGCCAGAGCCTTGAACGAGTTCTGTCCTTCAGCTCTGAGTCTTGGGGAACATTCTCAGTGCAGAATGCAGGCAGTCTGACACCACTTTCACTGTCACATCTGAATGCTATAGAATCCTGGGAGTTGTAGTTTGACAAGGTCTTCAGTCTTCTCTGCCAAGAAGTACCAGTGCCCCACTAAACTACAGTTTCCAGGATCCTACAGCATTCAGCCGTGACAGTGAAAGTGGTGTCAGACTGCCTGCATTCTGCACTGAAAATGTTCCCCAAGAGTTAGAGCTGAAGGACAGGAACTGGTTCAAGGCTCTGTCTGGGACCACAATGAACTGGGAAGAGCACAAGAAATCCTGGGAGTTGTAGTTTGACAAGGTCTTCAGTTTTCTCTGCCAAAAAGTACCAGTGCCTCACTAAACTACAACTCCCAGGATCCCATAGCACTGAAAGTGGTGTCAAAAGACATTTAAAGGTAAAGATTTCTCCTGACACTAAGTCCAGACGTGTCCAACTCTGTGGGTTGGTGCTCATCTCCCTTTCTAAGCCGAAGAACCGGCGTTGTCTGTAGATGCCTCCAAGGTCATGTGGCCAGCATGACTGCGTGGAGCACCCTTACCTTCCCGCCGGAGTGATACGTATTGATCTACTCACATTTTCATGTTTTCAAACTGCTAGGTTGACAGAAGCTGGGGCTGACAGCAAAGCTCATGCTGTTCCCCGGATTCGAACCTGCAACCTTTCAGTCAACAAGTTTAGCAGCTCAATGGTTTAACCCACTGTGACACCGGAGGCATTTGGTCAGACCAAAATGGATGGCTATCTGTCAGGAGGGTTTGGATTGTGTCTTCTTGCATGGCAGAAGGGGGATAGCTTTGCAGGTCACTTCCAACTTCATGATTATATGCTTCTGGATTTGGAGAATTGTAGTCCACTTCCCCTTCTTTCCCTATTAGAAGAGTTGACCCAGAGACCTTTGGCTTAGGGAGAGGTCTGGAATGTAAGATAGTCGCTTAGTGATTCACACAATGCATAGGCATCTTTTGGGAATGCTTCAGTGGTGCCTTCCTGCATTAGAGTTCCTTCTGGAGCCACAAAATATTGTGCCCTGAAAACAACTTTATGCAAAGAAACAACATCATGGCTGGACATCTCTCCCTGACTAAGATTTATTTATTCTTAAACATTAGGAGAGCTGTTTCACAGTGGAACTCATTGCCTCAGCGTCCGGCAGAGGTTCCTTCTTTGGAGGCTTTTAAACAAAGGCAGGGGGCTTTGATTGTGCTTTTCCTGCCTGACAGAAAGAGGTTGGACTGGATGGCCTTTGGGGATCCCTTCCAACTCTAGGAATTTATGATTCTCAAGTCTCTTCATCCCAATTGTCATCTCCTCAAATTCCTTGACGCTCCATAAGAGAGCAAAACCCTGCTCATATTGGTTTTGGGGCCACACTTTGAGGGGCAGCAAGGGCCAAAAGGGGGGCAAGGAGGGATCTCCCCACTCTGGGAAGGCAGAGGTTAACTCCCTCGTCCCTTGGCTACGTGTTCCTTTCCTCGTCTCCGAAGTGTGTGGAATCTGAGTCCTCCGTACATGATCTCATCCTCTTTGGCTCCGTTCCAGATTGGCCCATTCCATCAAAGAAAAACAGAGATATCTGTCCCAACATGGAGCTGACACACAGAAGGGATTAAGGTGGGAGGGAGACCCAAAGGTTGTCAGGAGCCCAAGAAAACCCATCATTAAGGGCCTCCTAATTAATAATACTATGGGGATTATCCAAAAAGTAAGGCTACAAGATTTTTTTAAATACAAAGAATTTATATCTATATAAATAAAAATGTAATGTTTGTTTGTGGGATTAACATAACTCAAAAACCGCTGGATTAATTGGCACCAAATTTGGCCACAAAACACCTAATAACCCAAGGAGTGAAAATCACTAAAAATGATTTTGTCATTTGGGAGTTATAGTTGCTGGGATTTATAGTTCACCTACAATCAAAGAGCATTCTGAACTCCACCAATGATGGAATTGAACCAAACTTGGCACACAGAACTCCCATGACCAACAGAAAATACTGGAAGGGTTTGGTGGGCATTGACCTTGAGTTTGGGAGTTGTAGTTCACCTACATTCAGAGAGCACTGTGGACTCAAACAATGATGGATCTGGACCAAACTTGGCACAAATACTCAATATGCCCAAATGTGAACATTGGTGGAGTTTGAGGAAAATAGACCTTGATATTTGGGAGTTGTAGTTGCTGGGATTTATAGTTCACCTACAATCAAAGAGCATTCTGGACCCCACTAATGATAAAATTGGGCCAAACTTCCCACACAGAATCCCCATGACCAACAGGAAATATTGCGTTTTCTGCAACTCCTTTTACATCCCCCGCGCGATCCCCATTGAACTAAACATGGCATACAGGACTCCCATGACCAACAGAAAACACTAGAAGGTTTGGTGGGCATTGACCTTGAGTTTGGGAGTTGTAGTTCACCTACATCCAGAGAGCACTGTGGACTCAAACAATGATGGATCTGGAC